GTCCTTAAGTTTTCGATGGGGAATCGAAGTTTAACTTATTGAAAAAAGGGGCCTCCTTCCTTATTTAGGGTTCCTTAGGTCAACGCCCCAACTGTACGGCCTTGGCGGCCTCAAGGTGCAATATTGCCATGCGCAAAGTCTCCTTTGCCAGCAAGTCGCTCATTCGGATATTTGGGCGGGGCGATTTCTGCTGATGCCCAAAAGCAAAGCAATGATGAGACAGTACGTTGCTGACAACAACGTCGATGGCGACGTTGTTGCCTACCAGCACAGAGGCAAGCGCGAAATCCCCACTCACACTCCAGAAATGAATTGAGCAGGAAAACGCGAGGCAAGATTTGTCTCCAGCGATCGATCGCCATCAAAATTGGAGCCCGCCGCAGATGACGGCACTGCCAGACCTGTATAGTGCGTGGCCAATTCAGAAGCCGCGCAATACTAACTCCTCTCGTACAGTCCGCCACTCGACCGGGAATCCCGTCGCCACTCCTGCGCGGCAGCAGCGTTTCCGAACGTTTGTGGGCTATCTGGCAGGGTTTGAGCATTTCTCCCAGAGAAGAGCCAACAACAACGGAATAAACATACGCTCTCGGAGCTCCGCGCGGAGTTTTTTGGATCTGCGCTGATGCCCCCTCCCTGTCGCGCGGAGCGCCCACGGAATCCGCGCGGACCTTCGAGAGTTCATGCGCATGATTCTGTCTTGTTCTCCGATGCCTGGCATGGTCTCTGCCATTTCCTCCGCTCCCCCCCCACGGCCGCGGAGTGTCGCGCGCACGGCCTCCTCTCCCGAGGGCCCTGCCCCTCGCAGCAAAAACCGTTGGACCCGCGCCTTCGAGGCCAAGATGGCCCAAAATGCCTCCCAAAACTGCCTCCAGGACGGTCCTCGATGAGCCCCAGATGGCACCAGAGGCCTCCCAGACGGGCAGGAGGTCACGGGACCGCCGCGGAGGACCCCCCTTGGTCCCTCGGGCCTGCCCTTGACGACGACGACGACGAAGACGACGACGCCTTTGACGACGTCGGCGGCGGCGGCGGCGGGCGGCGGCGGCAGCGGCACCGGCGACGGTAGCGGCGGCGGCGACGACGACGGTGGCGGCGGCGGCGGCGGCGTCGGCAGGCGGCGTCGGCAGGCGGCGGCGGCGAATGCGGCGAATGCGGCAGGCGGCGGCGGCGAATGCGGCGGCGGCGGCGGCTACGGCGACGACGGCGCCGGCGATGACGACGACGGTGGCGGGAATTCTGATCCCGGACCTCTCGCACATCATGACTATTTGCCCACTGTGATGTCCTCGCCTTTCCCAGGCGACCGCGGCCGCCGGATCCGGGAAGGTCCTTTGGCCTGCGTTGCATTGAAGTGTCAATGCCCTCATCCACGAGTCTACGAGGAAGAGGAGGAGGAGGAAGAAGAGGAGGAGGAGCCAGGCGGGAGGGGGGCAGGAAAAGAACGTGGACGAGGAGGAGGTCGAGGACCAGGAACAGGAAGAGGAGGACGACGCGGAGGAGTAGAAGAGGAGGAGGAGCAGGAAGAGGAGGATGAGGAAGAGAAGGATGATGATGATGATGATGATGATGATGATGATGATGAAGATGATGATGATGATGATGATGATGATGATGATGATGATGCTGATGAGCATGATGCTGATGATGCTGATGATCATGCTGATCATGATGATGTTGACGGCGATGATGATGGTGATGATGATGCTGCTGCTGATGATGATGATGATTATGATGATGTGGGGGAAGACGTGGACGGCGATGAGGATGATGATGATGATGATGGTGGTGGTGGTGATGATGATGATGATGATGCTGATGCTGATGCTGATGATGATGACGATGATGATGATGCTCATTATGATGATGATGATGATGATGATGATGATGATGATGATGATGATGATGATGATGATGATGATGATGATGATGATGATGGTGGTGGTGATGATGGTGATGATGATGACGACAACGAGATGCAGAATAAGGAGGGGAGAAGGCTGGCGACGATGCGAATGAGTGGCGACATGAGGAGGCATAGGGTCAGCAGCAGCAACAGCAGCGGCGGCAAGATGATAAGATACACGGCATCGAGGAGGACGAGGACGGCAAGGATGGGGGGACAACTGGAGGACGATATTGAGGAAGAAGAGAAGCAGGATGGTGAGGAGGAGGAGGAGGAGGAGGAGGAGGAGGAGGAGGAGGAGGAGTAGGAAGATGACGACGATGTTAGGAGGACGGCGATGTTGAGGAGGAGGAGGAGGAGGAGGAGGAGGAGAGGGAGAAGGAGGGAGGAGGAGGAGGAGGAGGAGGAGGGGAAGGGGGGGGAGGAGTGGGAGGAGGGAAGGGAGGAGGGAGGAGGGGGGGGGGGGAAGGCAACGAGAAACGTAACGAACACGAGGAGGACGAAACCCTGCCTTGCCGAGCGCCCCCCCCCCCTAGGCGAGATCCACCTCGGGGTGATCCTCCGGTACGACCCGCAGAAGGGCCGCGGCCTCGGTCGCGCCCCAGCCCTGCCCCCTGGGCGGAGGCGTCCAAGAGGGGGGGCGAGGCCTGCGGGGTGGGTGGTGGGGTGGGTGGGGGGGGGTGGGGGCGAAGGCGAAGGCAGACAAATCGAGGTACCCGGGTGAATCCAGGGATCTCCAAGAAGATCTGGAGCCTGGAGCGAATCGTGGCAGCGCCAGCGCAAAGGACGACAGAAGTTGTTAGGCTTTTTTTCAAGAAGAGGAGGGAGAGAAGAGGAGGAGGAGGAGGAGGAGGAGGAGGAGGAGGAGGAGGAGGAGGAGGAGGATGGAAGATGGAGGATGGAGGATGGAGGATGGAGGATGGAGGATGGAGGAGAGGAGGACGAGGAGGACGAGGAGGACGAGGAGGACGAGGAGGACGAGGAGGACGAGGAGGGAGGAGGAGGTGGACGAGGAGGAGGAGGAGGAGGAGGAGGAGGAGGAGGAGGAGGAGGGGATGAGGAGGAGGAGGAGGAGGAGGAGGAGGACGAGGAGGAGGAGGAGGAGGAGGAAGAGGAGGAGGATGAGGAGGAGGAGGAGGAGGAGGAGGAGGGGACGGTGAGGAGGACCCCGGTCCTCTTCTCCGTCCTCCAGCCTTTCGCTCGGCGTTCGCCTTGCCCCTCGCGCTGCACACTGCGGTCCGCTGCAGAGCAGGCGAGCAGGCGTGCCGGTCAAGCAAAAGCGGCGGGGCGCACCGGAGCGAATGGCGACACGAAGGCGCGGGAGGACTTGAGGGGGAGGATCGAGGAGGAGAAGGAGGAGGAGGATCGAGGAGGAGGATCGAGGAGGAGGAGGAGGAGGAGGAGGAGGAGGAGGAAGAGAAGACCGTAGCCATTTTGGCTCCAGTCCGCAGCGGTTTCGGCTCGGACCTGACCTCTCTGGCAGGGGGGACTGCAGCGGCCCCCACCAGCTCACCTCGTCTTGCCAGGTCAGGCGAGGTTTTTTGCGATTCCAGTGAGCTCCTGCAGGAGCAACTTCTCTCCTTTCTCGTGCACACATGGGAGGTGATCGTGGCTCAAAGGACGTTCTTCTTGGGCCGAAGAAACCTCTCTGGAGTTGTACGAAGTGCCACAAGGAGCGGCAACTGGGCGAGCAGAATCAAATGTGCATGCGGGACCGTGGCACCAGCGGTTGTGGTCAAATCGGCGAAGCAGGCACACGAGAAAGTTGTCGCAAATGGAAGCAACAATGTACAGAAAGGACCAAAAGGGCGCTGGGCAGAAGGAGCACCAGCAACTCTTGACAAGGCCCTGCAGGCAATCACCAAACGCGTGGAATCTCTCGAAAAGCCGTCGTCCGTCTCCACGTCCACCTTCCCGTGACAGGACAAAGGTGATGGCAACAATGATGTAAAGGCTCTCAAAAAACGTCTCGCTCATTGGCAAAAGGCGTCAAAGCTGCCGGTACATGTTGATGACCAAAGTGTGGCAGATGAGTTGGTCGAGAAACTCCAGTAGCAAGTACAGAGTGCGAAGCCGTATCATGTTCAAGCGCACTCTGTCACATCCAGGCTCGAGAGGGCCAAAGATGTTGCTGCAAACATGTCTGTCAAGCTCAATTCCACGAAGGAAGAGGTGGACAAGGCCAAGATTGAGTTCGACAAGAGGGTGCAGAATGCCGAGATTGCGCTTCAAGAAGCGCAGCGGCAGGTGCAGGTACTACAGCAGGAGGCCAAGGAAACGTTCGCCAGGGGGTTCTGCAGTGATGGGGGCACTGTGCCAGTACTCAAGTTGGACGGGATCATCCTCGCAGGCTCGAGTGAGGAGTTCAAAAGTTGGTTCCAGCAACAGAAGTCCACGCAGAACGAGCACTTCGAGACGCTCCGTAAGCTCTTGGAGGTTCAAGCAGCGGCTGCTGCTAATGCTGCTCGCCCTCCACCTCTTGTGCCTGAGTCTGGCGATGGTGACACGGACATGGATCTCGATGATGCCGATGATGACATCAGCAAGTTTGGACAGGCCACGGCAGGTGTCGAGGCTGCCAGGACCGCCCACAGTGCAGCACGAAGTGAAGAGGCTCGAGCTGAGGCCGCGCAGAACCTCAGCAAAGCCAAACGTATCTTGGCAGAGCAGATCGCTTCCCTGGCGGGAAAGCGGCAGCGGCGTGGGTAATCTGGCTCCTGAATTCTTGGCATACTACATCGACATGCACTATGAGTTGCAGCAAATGTTGGATCCATTAGTGTGCGTGGCAGATACAACGGAGGCTCTGCAGGTGATTCCTTCCAGGGTGCATGACGAAATGCACCACGTCGATAACATATTCCAGTTGGCGAACTTCATGCATGACAAGGTCATTGACACCGAGTGGGAGGGATTGGCGTTCCCTGTTCCTGCCATTTGTCCCAATGTGAGGTTCGATGACGCTCGTTTGGATCCTAAGTATGAGTCTACTGCAACTTGGGCTGGGCCTTTTCGTCGGGATGTAACTGATGAAAGCTTGAATCCAGCGTGCGATGTATGTCGGGCGGTACCAGATGAGGATGAGCCTCTCTGTTCTTCGACCTCGGCGGCGCCTCAGGGCGCGGTGGCCACGCGCGTTGGACCTTCCGCGTCGACAGGTGCCGTGCTGGGGGTCATTGGGAATAAGGAGATTTTGCTGCCACACCAGATCTTCTATGATGCCATCACGTCAAGAGCGACCCGTTGGCTGCTCAGGCTTGACACGGGAAATACAGGATATGATGATACTATGATCTGGTGCATACCATATGTCACAACACAGTTGCAAGCTTACTCTCGGGTTGATGAGCACAGGGGCGGCAGATCTTTGGAAGAAATGGCTAGTGATATGTGTTATAGCAGTTGGGTCCAGTCAGCTGACGGCAGAAGGAACGTTGTGCAGTACTACGACTGGCTCAAAAGGTTTGCTTCACATGAATGCTGGGAACGCGAGGTCAGGAAACGCTGGGCGGGTCTCAAGCATGTGAGGATGGATATGAGGAATGAGGAACTACTCGGGAGCTTCGGCCCCCCCAGCTGCACGAGAATTCTCCGAAGATGAAGATGGTGAAGTACTTCCAGTTGTGCAACGGGCAGGTGGGCGAGATGGGCCACCAGCTGGAATCGACCCTGATACCGAACAACCAGTTCGTGAACGGCACGACCCTCGACTTAGCGAGGTACCTGATGATGGCGAGGGGAACCCTGGAGATGAGCCTGAGGCAGACACCGCGCGCCAGAGGCGATCGGGGCTGCTTGCTCCAGTGCAGCCGTCTTCCCCAGCACCGTGGCCTGCACCAACGGCTACGCCTGCTGCCACTGTAGTGACCGCGAGAACAGGCCTCGGGCGCGAATTTCAGGACAGGTGTCAGAAACGGGGCCGGCCCAAGGTGCCAAAACGTTCAAGATGGGGGGTTTTCGCATGTAGCGCTAACTCCTGGAGCTCCTGGGAGACGGTCCTGGACTGGAGGATGGGCGGGAACCGCGGTGAACCGATCCCCCACTTTTTCGCAGGCCAGGAAACCGCGAACAGGAGTCGTGATGAGATAGGTACGCATCAGAAGGTCCTCAGAGGAAAGGGCCTGGACATCGACTTCTGCCCTGCTGTGTGTACTGGGGAGCATGCTCTAGCTACTTCGGCGGGAGTTCTGGCGGGAGCTAGGAGGTACCCCAACCAGAACGCCATGGAGGCCCTGGACCTCGCCAAGGTCCCCCAGGCAACTTGTAGGGTCTTAGCTAGACATGTGCATGCTGTTCTACCTGGGGGCACTGTTTGAGTCTCTGTCTGTTTTTATCACTCGATTGGCGTCACGGCTCAGACTGCTGAACTGTTAGCGGGGCTTGGGAGATTTTTGGGGTCTCCGACGGTTCCTTGGATCATCGGTTGTGATGCGCATATGGCGCCAGATACCCAAGGGCTTAAGGTTGGTGCTCTCAGCTTGGAGCAGCGGTGGTCCACCCAGGCCAGGCCACTTGTACAGCAGGCGGGGGTAGCACTTTGGATTGTTTCTTGCTCTCGCACGGTTTGAGCCAGTGCGTCGACAGCATCTAGGTGCTCCACGATGCGCCGATCAGCCCTCGCTCCCCAGTCGAACTTTGGATGACAGGTGTTTATCCATACCTATACACATCAGGGCCCAGAGGAAAAAGTTCCCGACGAAAAAGCCTGTGGGATGTATCCGACAGCCTGAGCATAGGGTCTAGTCTTGGGAGTTCGGGAACGACCAGATTGATTTCCTGGATTCATGGGAGCAATGGTTGGACAACGCCGAGCTGGAGATGTGCCGTATATGTGACATATATGGAGATGCTAGGTCCCAGTATCTTGGAACGTCCCAGGGGTTCCAGAGGAAGGTCTTATCTTTGGAGCTGATGTTGCGTAAGAAATGGTTTCCGAATACCACCCCGCAACTTAGGGCTTGGAGGTCGCTGGTAGCACTTTTGGCTAAAGCGGAGCACTGCGCCTCATTGGCTTCGATGACCAGCTGTGGCAAGATGTCAGGGCTGGCTTTTTTCGCCTGGACGAAGAGTTGCTTCTGCTTCAGTTTTTAGTGCTTGCGCCCTCGATCAGCGACCTGGTGGAGGCAATCATTGCTACGGATGGCAGAGAGATCGGTTTTCCTTCCCTTCGGCCATATCCACACACGATCACCTGATGTCTCAGCACTCGCGCAGGCGCTGGGCTAAGTGGAAAACCTGGGCTAAGGAATCTGTGTTGAAGGGAGGGAAGGTGGCGCACAGATACAGCAAGCAGAAGAATCCTGTAGTTGGGCCTGTTGGGGACCTCTGGTTTGAACTCCAAGGGGGCCAAGCTGTTGATGCTCTACGCAAGGAGTGGGGCGCCTACTGGCAGGATCACAGGTCTGGGCTAAGTGAAAAAACAACAACTGGAGCTAGCTAGGCAGGCCGAACCCCTAGGGCGCCCAGACTTGCAGGTGGTAAGATGGGCGTGGAGTAGATTCAAGCACGACACGGGCCCCGGAGCAGATGACTTCAACCCTCGATCGTGGACGCTTCTGCCTCAGGAGTTCCTGGTCAGGCTTCTGGACGTTATGCTTGTTTGGGAAAGCGCCCCCTTTTGTATTCCTGAAAAGTACCCTACCATCATCGTGTTCCAGGGTAAGCCTGAAGGTACAGGATTAAGACCTCTGGCCCTTATCTTGTCGCTCTACAGATTCTGGGGCCGTGCGAGACAGTTTCAGATGAGAGCGTGGGAGTTCCAGCACTGGGCGCCCTTCTTCTGGGGAGCGAGGGGCAATGAGTGTGATAGGGCTGGATGGCAACATGCAATACTGTCGGAGTTTGCTAGAGCAAAAGGGTTTGAATCGGCAGCGTTGTGCAAAGATCTCGATAAGTTTTATGAGAGGGTGGCGCCTTGCATATTTTTTGATGAAGCAAATGAAGCAGAATGCCACCTTGGGCTGACTGTTGCAGCGATTGCGTTGTGCACGGGGCCTAGGGCAATCACGTTTGCGAGTGGTTGTTCGTCGGTATTTAGAACGAGCGACACGATTTTAGCAGGATGTTGTTTGGCGGCTTCTTTCGCCAAGATCGTGCTCTACCGAGTACTGCGCCTACTGTCCCAGGCATTTCCCACCCCGTGCATTAGGAACGTCGTCGACGACGTCTCGTTGCAGCTGACTGGCTCGGTCAAGTATGTAACTGGGAATCTCGCAGCAGCTGGCATCCAGTTGAGGAAAGGGTTTGATGATCTGGAGTTGGTGGTTTCTGGGAAGAAGACGGTTCTCCTGGCATCGAATCAGCAGATAACGGAGGGGCTTCTAAAGGCCTGGAAACATCTCAAGTATACTTCGAAAGAACATACTCGGTCCCTGGGATGTTGCGCTGTCTGCAGAAGGGTTCGTAGGAACGTTACCTCTCTCAAGCGACTTCTCAGAGCAGCGCGCAGAGTACGTCGTGTATGGAAGCTCAAAGCTGCAGGAGCTGAAATAGCTAATGTCTACCGAGCGGGGCCACAAGCTGGGGCACTATGGGGCGCCGCTGTAGCTGGGCTTACTTCAGCACATATACATACGCCACGTGCACGTGCATGCCAGAGTATATGTAAACATAAAATTGGAGCAACCCACGTCGTGCAAACCATGATCGTTCGAAGAAGGTAGGAACTTGGATCCGCATGTGCTGTGCCACTCGAATGTCGCTCATCAGTGGGCACGAGCAGTGCGGGACGGTACACCTTCATTGCTTGTGATGCAGACAGTCCTTGAGCTTGCAGTGGGTGTTATGGGCTCTACACGCAGGCCCTGGCTTACGGCGACGTCGCCTGCGCATGTGTTGCTCCTCTCTCTTGCAGACATCGGATGGCGGCCTGTCAGTGCGCGTATCTTCCGTAGAGCAGATGGGGAAGATACCGATCTTCTCCAACTTGCCCCGCTCGCTGTCAGAGATCTCGCTGCCAGAGATGCAGGGCGCAGGGCTGATGTCAAAGCTTTAAACCAAAGGCCAAGCCTCAATAAGGTTTGGGTTAGGCCAGCCTTTTGGGAGGGTGCGGGAAAACAAGGATCAACGGGACCCGAAATGTTGTCTGACATGACCACCACCAGGCGCGTGCCAGACATTGTTTTGCCATGGGGACCTGGGCCCAACAGAGGCTGTATGACCACCAGCTTGCCTAGGACAATGTGTCAGATTTGCTCAGGTGCCCCAGGAACTGTATTTCACAGGAAGTTTGAATGTCCTGCCTTTGATGCTGATCGACGCGAACACTTCAGTCCTGCTGCCCGTGATGCAGCGGCGAGAGCTGAGACGCTAGGACAGGACTTGGAGACGTTTGCGTTTGGGCCGTTGCCAGATCCGCGAGAACTCACGCCCCCAGCGTTATCAACCAGCGAGTGCCATTTTTCTTTTGGTTTAACAAGCCAGCAGGTGGGATACTTACTGGTTTCCTCTTCACCGATGGATCGGCCCTCGACCCTACCTCTGAGAGGCTTCGTCGAGCTGTATGGTCGATCTGCATGGCGTCGAGAAACGGAGACCGTCTCTCGGCTGCATTTGGGCCAGTGCCAAGGCAGATGACACCGCTGCAGCAGGCCAGGGATGGTGAATAATATGCATATCACATGCTTGCTGAGCTTGCTGAAGGCCAGTTTGAGACTTTCACCGACTGTCAAGGGACCCTTGGGTGCGTGTGGGGCCGTCACGAGTCGACCGGCTTGGGTAATCCGAGGGCCCATCTGTGGCCTAGGGTGTGGCACGTGTTTGAAGACGGGATTGTGGCCCACAAGACTTTGGGCCACGCCGCCATGTGCGACATCCTTGAAGGCAGGTCCTCACATTTTGAGCGCGAGGGTAACAGGCATGCAGACCGCTTTGCAAAAAGAGGTGCAAGCAAGCACCCAGATGTCCCACGCGCCAGGCTACAGTTTGAGACAATACAAAGGCTTCAAGAGGATATAATTCGATGGGGTGGGGTCCAAGATGTCCTGATGAGCCAGCGTTCGTGGTCGGACTGTTCTGGGTTCCCTGGGGCCTCTGACAAGCAGGACCCCATGGGCCCCACGCCCTCACCTGCCAGTGCCGCATTGGCACGAAGGTAGAAGTTGCAGGGAGCCTCCCTATGTAGAGCTGAAAAGGAGCTGGCTAGGAGGATTCTTCTCTCTTTCAAATTCCCGTTTTTTAATGGACACGCGTACTCCAGACTCTGGCCAGGCTAAGGCGCTGACTGAAAGCCAGGCCATAGTCTACATGCAGGGCCACAGCCTCAGGATGTATAAGGTGTGGGACGGGGGTGGAGTGCGGGTGGGCGGGAGTGGGTGGTGTATGAGCTGTATCAAGTGCGGTGGGTATGCTTGGGGAGGAGCTGACATGTCGTGCAAGCCATGCTCCCAGCACCCACCCACTAAAGACGAAAGGTTTAAAGCAGCAAAGAAGCCGTCCGTTCAAGGGCCTCTTTCCGTCCTGGGGAAAGGCTTACAGAGGCTGGCGCCTCTCTGATCAGAGGGCGCCAGTGCCGTCGGACCTCCTGGCTCTGATCCGCTCCACGAAGCGAGGGGTCCAGGTCCTACAGGGCAGACAGGCTCAGGACGGCTGCAGTTTTGATTCCACTTGGGGAGGGAGCTGGTCGATCCCAGTACTCTACTCCAGGTTCGGAATGATTCAGCCCGCTGGTCAAGACGCTCCTCTGAGAGGAGACGAGTCTGACTAGCCGTGTTTTGTGATGTTAGGGGTGTCTGGCATTGACAGACACTCCCAATGGGAATATAATAGAATAGGAGGAGGAGGAGGAGAAGGATGATTCGGAGGAGGAAGAGGGGGAGGACGCTAACGAAAAAGACTGGGAGGCCCTGTCTAGGCGGAGGCGCCCAAGAGGGGGGCGAGGCTTGCGGGGGGATTGGGGGGGGCGGAGGGGGAGGATGAGAAGGATTACGGGAAGGGGGGCGGCGAGACCACGAGAGGGGAAGGATTTGTCTCTTCGGGCTTGACGACTTCTCGCAAACCGACCTGCGGGGAGCAAGCTGTGCCAACGAAGGTGAAGGCAGACAAATCGATGCACCCATGTAGATCCAGAGATCTCCAAGAAAATCTGGAGCGAATCGTGGCAGCGCCAGCGCGAGGGACGACAGACGTCGCGTTAGGCCTTTCAGGAAAAGGAGAGGAGGAGGAGGAGGAGGAGGAGGAGGAGGAGGAGGAGGAGGAGGAGGCGGAGGAGGAGGAGGAGGAGGAGGGAGGAGGAGGAGGAGGAGAGGGAGGCGGAGGAGGAGGAGGATTAGGAGGAGGAGGGGGAGGAGGGAGGAGGAGGAGGAGGAGGAGGAGGAGGAGGAGGAGGAGGAGGAGGAGGAGGAGGAGGAGGAGGAGGAGGAGGAGGAGGAGGAGGAGGAGGAGGAGGAGGAAGAGACGGTGAGGAGGACCCCCGTCCTCTTCTCCGTCCTCCAGCCTTTCGCTCGGCGTTCGCCTTGCCCCTCGCGCTGCACACTGCGGTCCGCTGCAGAGCAGGCGAGCAGGCGTTTCGGTCGAGCAAAAGCGCGAGGAGGAGAGGGAGGAGGAGGAGGAGGAGGAGGCGGAGGAGGAGGAGTAAGACGCCAACCGCGGTGGCCGGTCAGAACGTGTAGTCCTTCACGGGCGTGCCTGAACTGTGGAGGGCGTACGCAGGCGGTATCCCTGCCGCAGGACGGAAGGCCCGAAAGCGGCGGGGTCGTGGGACAGGACTTGATGTGTTGGTAGTGGTAGTCTTTGCCGGGGAACACGAGGAACTTGAACAGGTTGGCCTTGGAGAGTGCGAGCAGACCCAGGCGCCGCCGCAGGTGAGCACGGCTGGAGCTCGAGGGATCGCCGAGCAAGCAGAGCGGCCAGCAGCCAGCCAGACTGGACAAAGAAACCAGCGGACCACGATGTTGGGATGAACGCAGCCACGGGTACGTACAGTCGGGGCCCTGAAGAAGGAACCCTTTTGGTTGGGGAGGGGTGCCGCGTTCCTTCAGTGTTCCTCACCTTGCCTCAGGTTTTCCTTATGCTTTCGATAGGAAATCGAAGTTTAACTTATGGAAAAAAGGGCCTCGTTCCTTGTTTAGGGTTCCTTAGGTCAACGCCCCGACTGTATTCCTCGCGTTGCACATGCACTTCAAGAATCAGGGTGAGACTCGAAGCTGGGGCTGGCCAGTGGTAAAGTGCTGGGCGCAGTGAACAAGGGACGGGGGGGGAGGTGCAGGATGCCAAGTGTGGCGCGAACGCACCAAGCGTGTCCTTCCCTCCTCTGCCTCCTCCCTCTTCATCGCCGGCGTTCTTCAGGAGGGGAAAAAACACAGACACATTGAATCGTCGACTCCCTAGAAAATATACGAAAATATGGGAAGTGGTGGGGGATACAAAAACCAAACAAATATGAGGAAATATGGTGAAACTTTTTATTTGTGTATTTACTTGTGTGTCCCTGGGTCTCTTCACAAGCGTGTCCTTCCCTCCTCTGCCTCCTCCTTCGTCATCGCCGGCGTTCTTTCCTTGGTCCTCCACCGCCGGCACCCCCCTCTAAGCCTACGGCTTCCTGAAGCCCGACGACGTGCCCGAGGACGTCTTCTTCCTTCGCTCCGCGCTGCCGGAGGAGCCCCGCGCGCCTCGAGGATGCCGCCCTCAGCACCGGAGGCCTGGAGGTGGACACCAGCACCAAGATCAGAGCCCCGAATCATCAGGGGTAACTCGGGTCAGGGCTAACTCGGGTTCGCTGTTCGGGATTCCGAACCCGAGTTACCCCGGGCCCGAGTTACCCCGGATAACTCAGGCGTCCAGAGCCCCAACTCATCTAGGATCATCGTACCCCTGTGGAGGCCCCCCCTTGCGATGGTGTTGGTGCCAATTTCCAGGCATCCAACATCATCTCCCCAGTTTGTGTTGGATCTACATGTGAGCTTGAGGACCCGGTTGTGTGGGAGGTGTGGTGCAGTCGCCGACAGGCAGTTGCGCTCGTTAGGCAAAGCGTGCACCCACCGTTTGACCCCGACAGGTTGTTCCCAAGGTCCCCAGTAAGGCCGAGTGAAGGCCCAGCGAGGCCGAGGGAAGAGTGGTTGATCGGTACTGGCTTCGCCACTGGCTCCTATAATCCTGATCCTCATCTTCGTCCTTCTTCTCTCTACAGTCGGGGCCCTGAAGAAGGAACCCTTTTCGTTGGGGAGGGGCTTCGCGTTCCTTGATTGTTTCGCAGTTTGCCTCAGGTTTTCCTTATGTTTTCGACAGGAAATCGAAGGTTAACTTATGGAAAAAAGGGGCCTCGTTCCTTATTTTGGGTTCCTTAGGTCAACGCCCCGACTGTATAATCCTGATCCTGCTCTTCGTCCTTCTTCTCTCTAGGGGGGGGGGCGGGGCGTGCCGTGGAGGGAGGGAGGGAGGACGGACGAGCGAGGGTGGGGCGAGGGCGGAAGGCGGGGCGAGGGCGGCGGAGGGAGGCGAGAGGGCGGAGTGGGTCACCGCCTACTCCAGATTTCGTAATAAAGGGAGGGGGGTCTCATTTCGGGGGGGGTCTCTTCCAGGCTATCTTGGAGGGCCTGGGGGGTCTGGGGACGATGTTTCGGAGGGTTCTCCCACGGGGGAGGTCTGAAATGGCTTGTCTTGGAGGGTCCAGACCCCCTCCCTTTTATTACGAAATCTGGAGTACCAAACCACCCCAACCCAACCCGAAGGCTTCAATTTGCCCTCCACTTTGCGTGGGGGGGTCGGGGAACAATGAAAAAACACATTTTGAGCCCGTACCCCCCCCCAACCCGAAAGTCGGGTCTTCGGGTTGGGTTGGGGTGGTCTGGTAGGTAGTCAGTGGGGGAAGGGAAGGAGCGGAAGCGCAGGCCACAGGGGGGACCCATGCCAAGGAACGCCCTGCTCGCCTCCACCGAAGAAGACAAAACAGCAGAAACTGAAATTTTTGGCGCTCCGCGCGGATTCCTTGGATCGCGCTGGGGCCCCCTGGCGGCGCCTCCGGCGCTGCCCCTGGCGCGCTCCGCACGCCAGGGAGGGGTCTCTAGCCCAGATCGTTTATGTTGTGTTTTCTTCCTCTACAAAAGCGTCCTGGTTGCCTCCAGGGTGCCCTGGGCTTCTTGGGTTTCGATGGTTTCATGCTATGGAATGCGTCACGTTCCCACACCAAAGGTCCACGGTCGTCCTGGGGTCTCAGAGACGGGTTTCTCGTGGAAGGTTTCTTGTGGTCGGGCTCCTATTGCGCGCTGGCGCCATCTCTGACATCCTACACCTCCCAACCATCCCTTCCAAGTGCGCCGAATCCTATTACCCAGCTGCATGCGGCAAGTCCCGCCAGCGTGCCAGCCCAGCATTCTGAATGGCGACTGTTCGGGGGGCACGGGAGGCCGTTACGTATGGCACTTCGTGTCCCCAGACTTGGGAGAGTCGTGATGAGGACGATGAGGATTCTGATGATGTGGGTGGTGGTGATGGTGATGGTGTTGACGCTGATTATGATGTTGATGCTAGTGATGATGCTGATGATGATGATGATGATGATGCTGATGGTGGTGAAGCTGATAGTGATGGTGGTGGTGATGGCGATGGTGCTAACGGTCATGGTGATGATGCTGATGATGATGATGATACTGATGATGAGGATGAGGATGATGATGATGGTGATGGTGATGGTGATGGTGATGATGATGGTGATGGTGATGGTGATGGTGATGGTGATGATGATGGTGGTGATGATGATGATGATGATGATGATGATGATGATGATGATGATGATGATGGAAGTGGTGGTGGTGGTGGTGACGATGACGATGATGATGATAATGATGGTGATGGTGATTTGGAGGGGGAGGAGGAGAGGGAGGAGGGGGAAGAGGAGGAGGGGGAGGAGGAGGAAGAGGAATGTCGTCACATGTGACACCTTTCGTCTTCACTATTTGGGCAGTTCTCATGGAAATCGGTTGGGCCGTCATGGGGCTGACTTGGCCCCCTTGGGCCCCGTTTGGAACCTCTTGGGCCGTTTTGGATGCCTCTTGCTCCGTCTTGGGGCTCTCCTGGGCCGCCCTGGGGCCTTCTTGGCCGTCAGGTGGGTGCCTGAGGGCCAACGTGCGGCCGTCCTGACCAAGAGAGCAGTCGAAGGTCTCTAAGGCCGTACGTAATCTGCTTGTCCCACGGGAGGCACTGTTCGGCCGTCTTGTGGCCGTCTTGGATGCGTATTTGGCCCGCGCGTGACGTCCTCGTGGGCCGGCTTTGGACGAGAAAGGTTCAGATCCCAGTGGGACCGGGTCAGATCCCAGCAGGTTTGGGTCGGATCCCAACGGTTCTGAACGCCCGCACGATTCAGATCCCAACGGAGCTGATTTGATCTTAGCGCCCCAAGCGCCTCAAGCGAGAAGGATGATGGCGGATCCCTTCTTGAGGACTCCTCATAAGGATTCCGGAGGATTCCTAGGGGAGGCCTGGTGAGTTCTGATGATGTCTGATATATTCCTGGAATATTGCGGGACTCTTTGGGGGTCTGGGGGATCCCGCAGGACCCCTGAGGATTCCGAAGGATTCCTAAAGGATTTATTGGGCATCCCGGGGAATTCCAGGGGGGTCCTGAAGGATCCTTGGAGATTCTTGAAGTTGCCGAAGGGGCTCCTGAAGTAGTCTTTTCGAGTGCGTTTTGGATACGTGCCAGTCACGTTCTGGATATGTGTTGTATGCGTCTCGTACACATGCCGGATACGTGTTGTACACATTATATATAATCGTGCCATACACGTTTCATGACCGTTATGCGCACGTTGTGTTTTTTGTTGCGTTGTTTACGTTCCATATACAGGCCGTATATATGTCGTCAAGACGTGATGTACGATCCCATACGCGTACATGTATACCTGTTCGTATATTTTTTTCGTATGCGTGCCGCATACGTTTCGTATGTGTCCCTATGTTTCCCTAAACGGTTCGCATACGTATTGCACACGTGTTGTGCAGGTTTAACATACGTGCTGTGTACGTTTTTTATAGGTGAACATGCTTTGCGCATAGTTGGGCATACGTTGCTTCGTATGCGTTTCGTGTATTTTTCCTTCACGGTGCGTCTACGTTTCGCATTGCTATAGGAAGTGTGGACATGTCGTCTACGTGTCGTATACATTCGATTTCGTTTGAGTTACGTTTCATCTATGCTTCATGTGCGTTTACTATTCGTTGCTTATATGCGTTTTGTATGCGTTGTGTATGGGGCTGTGTACAATGCAGTTGCGTATCCGATTTGCCTCGTCTGTTTTTCATGTACTGGCTAGATACGCTTCTTTTACGTCCCACATACCCGTCGTTCATGTACCCTATACTATTCACATCGTCATTTGTACGTTCCATACACGTTCCTTGTGTGTTCGATCACATGTCATTTCCATGTTGTGTCCGAGCCATGTGCGTGTCATATGCGTTTCGTTCACGAGTCGCAGATCGTCATTTTCGTTTCACTTTCGTTACATCTGCGTTTGGCACACATTACATGGCATACATACGTTTTAGTTACTCACCATACGTTACATCGAAGGTTCACCGACGTTTCCTATGCGGTCCATCTACGTTTTTGTCCATCTCATATACAGTCAATGCCCTGTTAGTCTACGCGTAGTATAAGTTGTGGAGACGTTTGGTCTACGCTCATGTACTGTTCGCATAGGCGCCATATGCGTTTCACACATACACATTCCCCATACGCTTGTTGTTATGTTTCATGTGCTGGATGCGTTTCGTACACTTTATGTGTTAGTTTTACCTTCGCTTCATACATGTTTATTGTATGTATCGTGAATTTGTCGTACATGTTTCGTATATGATTAATGCTCGCTTCGTCGACTGTTCGTATGCGTTGTATGTACGATTATCTCCTTTTTTGTATTCGTTGCGTCTACGACTCTTGAATGTTATGGTTGCGTTTCGTGTACGTTTTGTGTTCGTGCCATATACGCTTCGTACACGTGTTCGATAAGGTCCGTATGCGTTTGATGTGAATGTTGTGTTCGTTTCGTATACGTGTTGTAGGCGCTGCCGTCTTGGAGTGTCTTGAGTTTGTTTGGAGCCGTTCTGGAGCACTTCGACCTCCCATCAAAAAGGGCAGTGGACGGGTCGATGCCACAACGGCGCCGGATGAAAATCGAGTGAGTTACCAGAAGGGGTATTGTTGACTTCTCACTCACAAGATGACCATGTAAGCACAATTTCAAACAGGGCGGTTTTCCTCCAGTTGGGCTCAGAAGCGTTCTGGTGTTCTAACCCGTTGGGATCTGAACCAGTCGGTTGGAATTTGACAGGTCCCGTTGGGGTCTGACGCCGCAGCACCTTTTTGGACACTCGTGGGAGCCTCTGGGAACCGTCCTGGGGGCCATCGCGGAGGCCTCTTGGGGGCCTCCTTAAGCTGACGGAAGCCCGAAAAGGCGAGAATGCCAACACCCTTAAAAGCCAAAAGGACATCCATGATGTTGGTTGTACCAGTCCCTGTTGAAGGTTTGTTGTCAAGTTGGGCCCTCTTGGAGGCACTCTGGGGGGCCGCATTGATGCCACAGTCGACCGCCTACGGGCCATCTTGGCCCGTGTTCGAGGGGTTGCTTGTATGGTCGGGGGTGGACAGAACCCCCCTAC